CAAATCATTGGCTTACTATGACTAAAAACATCATTATTACCCAAGATAAAACAGCCTTTGTGATGCATGGATACAATATGCTGTGAATTCCAACAGGTCACTATACACTTAGGTATTTCTTTTTATGTGCTTCCTACATGTAAGCTAATAAAGGCATCGAATGTCATATGGAAAGTCTGCCTTACACAGTTTTAAGTCTTAAACACTTAAATCTAATGTCATGGCTAAATAAGTTCATTTCTGGAACTTCCTGCACGTAGAATAAGACACGTTGTGTTATGTGTTTCTTCAGTGCCGGTTGTGGTCTCAAGATACAGCAGGGTTCACAACACACAAATACTACCAAGGAGAGCCATGAAACCACCAAACATCACTCTGTGCTACCACGAATGAGATAAACAGAACATTTAAGACACAACCAGGGGACTCCCAAGCAGGAGACAAATTTCAGGGAACAGCCCCAAACTTTAGAAATTGTAGCAGCAGTAGCTAAAGGACGGATAAACTCTTGTTAATGAAACAAAAAGAATGCTGTTTAGAGAGTAGAAAAACATGAGACAAACTCAAAAAGAACTAGATCATGTTTTGCTTGGCTGGACTTTGAAGGACACATACCATTAAACCGTATATGGCACGGTACTTTGTTTGAGGGACATTCTAGTTGCCTATTTTCAACATGCACATTTCTAGCTAAAGGTTCAAATAACTGAACATAGGTACAAATGTACCCACGGTGGCTGTACAGTAAAAGAGAAAGCAGAAAGCTATCCCAAAAGAAAAGACTGCAAGCTTGTAATTTAAGTAAGAGACTTCAGATTAAATCTAAACCCCCAGCAATTACAAGAACAGCCTTACAAGAATGTAACTGATTTCTCTGAATAAAGCAAGAGAAAAGGGGTGCAATCAGTTAGGTAAGGAAACCTAATCACTGAAGGAATACAGAAATGTACAGTGATGTTATAAATGGTAGAAATGTTGCTGTTCTCAGTGCTGAATGTTAAGATTCAGCCTGTAAACTGACTTTACAGCCAGCTGCACAATTTCTTTGCGTGTCCAGAGAAGGGCAACGAAGCTGGTGAAGGATGTAGTGCACAAGTCTTATGAGGAGCGGCTGAGGGAACTGGGGTTGTTTAGCCTGGAGAAAAGGAGGCTGAGGGGAGACCTCATCACTCTCTACAACTCCCTGAAAGGAGGTTGTAGCGAGGTGGGTGTCGGTCTCTTCTCCCAAGTAACTAGCGATAGGACGAGAGGAAATGGCCTCAAGTTGCGCAAGGGGAGGTTTAGATTGGATGTGAGGAAAAAT